TGTGTGTGTGTGTGTGTGTGTGTGTGTGTGTGTGTGTGTGTGTGTGTGTGTGTGTGTGTGTGTGTGTGTGCGTGCGTGTGCCTGTCTGTGCATATTTGTTCGCGCGTGTGTGTGTTCGTGCACATTGAGTCTGGGGAGATGCGCACTAATGTGAGCGGTTAGGGATGAATGACATGATTTCCACTTCGATTCCCCGAATGGCGCTTGTGTGTGGATGTTCGAGGAAAGTATAAAAAACGATTGCGCTCGTGCTGTGTTCAACCTCATCTTGAGGTTGCCACACTCGACTGATCCAAATTGATCCCAATGTCATGTCCGCTGATCTGCCCAATGGTTGATCAATCGAAACACGAGGTGGCAGTGTCGATACAGCGAACGCATCCATCGACCAATCGGGAAACACGATGAGATCACTCGTGATCGGATGATTGATCGTGTCCGCCGTGTCGACGTTATCACCGCGTTTGTGTTGTTCGTTCTGTCGTCTGTGTTCAAACCACTCGTGATCGGATGATCGATCAGATCCATGACAATATGCACACCACACACGTGATGAACCGACCCATCACCAAACACAAGCCGACCACTCGCGATCGGGTGATAGATGCTGTTTGCTGCCCCAACAACATCGCCCCTGATCTGCCAAACGGATGATTAATCAATGCACGAGGCGACAACGTTTGGATCACAAACGCATCCAACCGACCAGGCAATAGATTACTTGCGATCGGATAATTTCTCGTGTGTGCTGCACCGAAGACGTCGCCTATTGTGTGTTTCAATCGTCTCAACGGCAAAACCAAAACACACGCGGCGATGTGCATGCTTGCGTGTGTGTTGGCGTGTGCGTGTGTGTGTTGTATGAGCACCATAACCTGTTTTGTGTTTCGGAAGGCGATGTGCGTGCACGTGTTTCTGTGCGTCTGCGTGTTTCTGTGTGATAGTCATGGACTGAGCAATCGATTGGTCAGGGGATCTGCCTGGATCAACTGATTGGCGATTGATCAATCACCACACCAACCGCCAACCGAGCAGCCGATCAATAAGCTGATACTGGCAGATTTCGTTACCAATCGACTGTTCTGTGCACATTGATCGCGGAGAATCCTCAAGGCAAATGATCATGTGCACGATCAAAACCCGCGAACGAATCACACAACCTTGTCACAATCTTGTTGCACATCGAAAGTTGATCCCGATCTGCGAACAGAAAAAAAGCACTTCGTCACAATCTTGTTGCACATCGAACGTCGTACAACATCGAACCCGGCTCCACATCAAACCTCGGCGGGCGTCGAACCTCGTCGGACGTCGAACTTTGGAGGACGTCGGGTCATCGACACTTGACGGTCACTGAACGGCGAACATGGAGCAGCCCCCACCCCACGCATCGCCGACACAGTCCTCGTCATCGGAACGTGACCGTCCTAATCCGCCAGCACAAACTTGGCAGTGCTAATCGAACTGATCACGCAATCAAACACCGGAAGAAGTCCGGATTCCGGCGAGCTTGAGCAGCTGTTCGAGCACGTTTCGCAACCCCGGAACGCAACCACAGCCGCGGACGTGCGAAAATTTGAAGTCCGCCAGGATCCGAACTTCAAGAAATTGTTGGATGGTGAGTTTGGCAAACAGGTGTGTCTCTCCCACGCAATTTCGCGAAGTTCGGACCCCGACGAACTTCAGGTTCCCTCCTTTTGGAAGACATGTTTGCGGATCGCCCGCTGACCTGTGGATCTGAACCTCGCTTGCACGGTTCCTTGCACAATCGTCAACTGCGGACCTCGGTGAACTTTTGATTCGTTGAAAATGCGAAGTTTGTCGGGATCCGGACTTGTCCTTCACGGTTCCTCGCACAGACGTCAAGTTCGGACCCTGGCGAAATTAGCTTTTCGCATTGTGCGGGTTCCGATTGCGGACTTTCTAGAGCCCAAGGGATTGGCACAACCACAGATTCGAAAAATGTGAAGTCCGTCGAGATCCGAACTTCTCGCGCACGGCTCCTCGTTCAATCGCCAAGTTCACCGGTTGTTTCTCTCCCGCGCGGTTTCGCCAAGTTCGGATCCCGGCGAACAACAGGTTCCCGCCTTTCGCCAGACATTTTTGAGGCTCGCTTGCCCTCCCGTGGATTCGAACCTCGCGTGCCCGATTCCTCGCACGTTTGCCAAGTTCGGAACCCAACGGACTTTGGATTCGTGAAAATGCAAAGTCCATCGGGATCCGAATTTCTCGTGAACGGTTCCTCGTGCACTCGTAAAGTTCGGACCCTGGCAAACTTTGCTTCCCGCATGGTGTGGGTTCTGTTTGTGGTCTTTCTCACGCCCGGTGGTTTGCCACAACTTTTGTTTCGCAGAAATGCGAAGTCCGCCGGGATCCGAACTTCTCGCACATGGTTCCTTATCCCATCGTCGAGTTCGCCAGCTGTGTCTCTCCCGCGCAATTTCGCCAAGTTCAGATGCCGACAAACTTGAGATTTCCTCCTTTCGCAATTCGTGTTTGCGGCCCGTCTGCTGGGCCGTGCTTCTAAAACTGTCGTGCACGGTTCCTCAGACAGTCGTCAATTCCGAATCCCGACGAACTTCAGATTCGAGAGAATGCGAAGTCCGCTGGGATCCGAACTTCTCGTGCAAGGTTCCTCGTGCAGTCGTCAAGTTCGGATCCCGGCGAACTTGAGATTTCCTCCTTTCGCAATTCGTGTTTGCGGCCCGCCTGCTGGGCCGTGCTTCTAAAACTGCCGTGCACGGTTCCTCGGACAGTCATCAATTCTGAATCCCGACGAACTTCAAATTCGAGAGAATGCGAAGTCTGCTCGGATCCGAACTTCTCGTGCAAGGTTCCACGTGCGGTCGTCAAGTTCGGACCCAGGCGTACTTCGATTTTTGGGTGGTGTGGGCCTGCTGGGCCATGCATCTAAAACTGCCGTGCACGGTTCCTCGGCCAGTCGTCAATTCTGAATCCCGGCGAACTTCAGATTCAAGAGAATGCGAAGTTCGCTGGGATCCGAACTTCTCATGCAAGGTTCCTCGTGCGGTCGTCAAGTTCGGACCCAGGCGTACTTCAATTTTCGGGTGGTGTGGTTCTGACTGTGGGGTTTTCTGGCGGACGATGGATAGCCACAACTTCGGATTCTTAAAAATGTGAAGTGCGCCGGGATGCGAACTTCAAGAAATTTTGGGACGCCGAGTTTGAGACACACCTTAATTTCTCCAGCGCAGTCTCGCCAAATTCTGATCACGACGAACATGAGGTACCCAGCTCTCGTAGGACATAATTGCGGCAGGACGGCCGACCGGCAGATGTGAACATCGACCAGGTGGACCGCCCGAAATCGGATCTTCGAGCGTGCGTTCCGTCTGATGCCAAGGGTCGCAGATCGCAAAACACGACGTGTTTACGAGTGTCTCCGTGCCGGTGTGTGTCGTTTGGCATGTGCGCGTGGTGTGTAGGGTGCATAATGGAGGCGACCTTCTCGACACCACGAATCATGGAGCCGATCTTCTCAACACCACAGACCATGAGTCCCGAGACGCACATTCGCTTGGCAGAACTGTTTCCTCCTTGCGCGCGATCCGTGCGGTATTTTAACGGTGTGACTACGATCCACGGAGCGACCACAGAGGACTTCGACGAGGACCCCTGGATGACCGTCGTCCCGTGCTTGGAGGGGCATGTTGACGGCTGGTGCGATCGGAATTGGGCCACGATGGAGAGTCGCTGTCCTTGGGCAAACCAGTACAAGTTCGCCAACATGTTGGAGTTCGGGAACCTCATCCTGGTGTCTGACGCTGTCCTCGGACACAAGTTCCTGAACCATATGCGTAGAGCACTGGGCTGCATTATCCGCCATTTGAGCCGCCTTGAGTGCCACTACGTCAGGTCGTCGCCACGAACTTGGGGAGGCCAGCGGAAACGAGAGTTGGTGGACTTCGCTCGCCACTGCTCATTCCTAGAGCAGTACCCGCTCCGGTGCCCCGGGAATTCTCCACAAGCTGTGTCATACTGTTGTGTGCGGTTGACTGTGTCCGGGTCTGATTTTGCCCGAGTTCTATATGTCGCTGCTTCGAACAAGAGCAGAAAACTCGTCGATGCAGTTGTGCTTGTATCACGCAACGAGGTGATGATTGAGGGGTCCAAATTCGTGCCGACGCACGGGCCCGAACGTGTAGATGGGTGGCGTAATTTGGTTATAGCAGGGCGGGTCCGAAACTTTTCGATGCATCGTGAGGTCGAGGAGAAAGTGTGCGATATACGGGACTGTAATTCCTAAGCGCGACCGGGTGTGTTTGTTAGGATGAAATACATGTCCGTCTTTTTCGAGAGGGCATCGGTAGACGAACCGCGGATCCACGTATACGGATCATCAATGAATGCTCTGTATGGCTTCGGTTCACGACGTCGTCCCAGAGGAACCTCGAATGTCGACACATCTGAACGAGATGTCTATCTCTGACGCCGTCTCCTTCACCGCCGCGCCTCAGCGAAGTTCGGATCCCGGCGAACTTCGCGTTTTGGGGTGGGTGTTGATTTAGCTTCGGTACTGTTGGCGTCCGGCGGGCCGCATGAACCAGCGGGGCCCACGGGCAGGGTCTTGCTTGAGGCCGCAGGCCCGTCTGACCAGCCTTCGAGCTGCAAGTGCTTGCCGGAGATCAAAATCCTGCTGGGCGCGGCGTTCATAAAAGATTTGCGACCAGTTCCGCGTGGGCACGTTCGCGATATGAGACCGCCGCCAACCGAAGTGCAGTGTACCCTGTCCGTGTTCGGTTGCCGCCTGTCCACCATCGACATGTGCCAAACAGTCTATCATTGTGGTTGCGAAATGCCAAAAGCACTCTTAGGGATCCCAATCGCAGAGTTCGACGCTGGCCGAACAATTCTGAAGTTCTCCCTCCAACACCTTGCTCGGACCCCGTCTTGCGTCTAACCTCATACGTGATCCGGTATTTCTCTCTGTGTGTCTTCCTCTCAGTGTCCTTAAGTTCGGATCCCGGCGAACTTCCTGTGACGCCTGTCTATTGGACACACACTGGTCTTCCTGATCCCCCGTGGATTGCGACAACAGTTCCTGTCTGCCCTGCTCCACGCGTTTCGTTCTGCCCCACCAGGGACCCATGCAATGTTGTCATGGATGCTGCGCATATCAGAAGAAGTTCGGATTTCGGCGAACTTATCCTTCTCAACCGGCCTCTCATGTTTGTGTGCCATTCCCACATCGTGTTTTCTTTTGGGTCCACGGATCATGTGTCTCTGACGCCGTCTCTGCCTGTCGCATCGTCCGGAAGTTCGGATCCCGACGAACTTCACGTTTCGAGAGGTGTGTTGGTTTGTGCTTGGACATGCCCGTCCGCTGGTTCGTACAGCCCGCCCGGCGACGGGGAGAGTCCGTCTCTGACTTCTGGTTTTGATCAAATGCAGTTGCGGAGTGTGTTCGCTCGAGAACGGTTCTGGAACGCCGACTGCATGGGCTGGCTGTTTCTCTCTTTCTTTCGCACCATCTTTTAGTCTGGACCCGGGTGGACTTCRCGTGCTAGTCTGTCCAGGTTCCGAGTGTTGGGCGGAGGACACTGCACCGTCCAACGCGAGCTTCGAACATGACCGGCAGTCCTTTGGTTCGGATCCCGGTGAACTTCTCGATTTTCCCTATGCGTTTGTCTGTCTTCATTCTTCTGGTGCGTCGTCTGCCGCATAAACGGCGCTTGATCCCCGACACTCTGCCTCTCCGCCTCGTGCACTGTTGAAATTCGGATCCCAGGGAACTACCCATTCTAGTCGTTCCGAAGTTTGGTTCCGGGGTGTCTTTGCGTGCGGATTTTGCTACGCAAGAGCTTGCGTTGCCGTGTGCCGACGACTGTTCTGTTCCTGATGTGTTCTCCCAAACATTGACTGCATGGTGCGTGGTGTGATTTGGGTTGTCGTTCGCAGATAGGATGTCTTCTTCAAAGGGCGAGGTGGAGCCAACTGGGACCTCCGGGAAGACATCCGGAAAAGATTCCACGAGGAGGTCGTCTACTGCCATGAAAGGGTGGTCGAACCATTCCAAGTCGAAATGGTTCATCGACTGGTGCTGTGGAGACGCTTCCAACCCCACTGCGCAGCCATGAAGTCCTATCATCTTCGTCGATGACGGCAGAAGGCGTCGAGTGCTTGGGGCCGTCTTGGGGTGAGAGGACGCGAAGGGGGGCCGACGACATTTCCGTATGGAAAAGGTTTATGGCTCCAAGGGCAACGTCGTTGCCAATTCGAAAGGGGTGTTGTTGGTCCTCGAATTGTGTGAGGGGTTCGGAGCGGGTGTTGTGGACACCCCGTTTTACAAAGAACTCGTTCTCGTGGGTGGTTTTGTTTTGGCGCGTGAGTTTTTCGACAAGCTGGAGGACAAGAACATCGTTCTCGACGTCCCCTGCGACTTCAGCCCCTCCTTGGAGCTCTCGTTGTCGTTCAAGCCGTGCGGCGGTTGCGAGTCAAGCGGGCCGGCGGCGGAGGGAGGTGATCTGGGTTCTGGTCCGGCTACTCAGCTGCACTGTGGCTAGAACCGGGACAGTTCGACGACAACAAGGACGAGGGGCCTGCAGCGCCCTTGAGGGACAGGCGGCTGTCTGTGTTGTCTATTCCAGGGGTCGACATTCGCGATCCGGTTCAACGGGAGAGTGCGGAACCTACAGCAAAGGTGGCAGCCTCTTCGGAGGTCGACTTGGAGGCGAGCGAGGACCAGAGTGTGGATGAGGTGACCGCAGGCGGCCTGGGCACGCAAGGCACTCCGCAAAAGAGGAGGGGGGATCGCACAGACGAGTTCGTCGGTTCTGCGAAGGAGTTGAAGAGCAAGGACCCTAGGACTGCGGGAGAGAAACGAAAGGGGACCGAGGGGGAGGAGGGCCGGCAGGTTGCCAAACGGCCGGCTTCGAGACATAAGCAGCCTGCATCTGGAACGTCTTCTCCACCGACGGAAAGGCCTCCAATCGACGTCGACGCCGGGTACTTCCTCGAGTACAAAGACGGCGTTCGGACAAAGAGGGAGTTCGAGGTTAGCCCTGCGCAGGTCGTCGACCTTGGAGAGTGGGAGGACCTATACAACCAGCGGTCCTTGGATCCCGTGCTCGTGGAAGGGATCAAAGAAGCGATGCGGTTGGCGTTCGAAAACAAAGCGCAGTCTTACGATTTGGCTACCCTGAAGCTGGCACCGCAGGGGCTTAATAAACCGACTCTGGGGACCAAGGCAGAACGTCTGAGGCCGGAGGAATGGAGGGATGAGCTGGCGGGGCAATACTACTACTACGCGGTGTGTGTGCAGCACAACGCGGCTGCAGCCAGGTCGCTGCTCGGCATCGAGGTGGCCAGGAAATACAATTTCGAGCGGTGGCCTGCACGAATGCTCTACTTTTCAGACGACGACTTCGAAGGGTACTTCCTTGTCAGTTCCTAGGACAACAAGAAGGACCTGAAGGCGCCCCCGAGACAGCTGAAGCTGTCAATGAAGGACATTAGGCGGCAGTGGAAGCGCGACGGGTGCCCGCGTGCTGTTATGGGAAACCCCAACGGAAAACAGGATCAGGTCTGAAAGTGGCGTGAATTCTGTGAAGTCGCGCTCAATATGACGCCGCACAACAACTTGTGGACGCTGGCAGATCAGAAGGGCGACGACGCCATCAGGAAGCAAGGCGCTGCCCTGCGTTCCTATTTCCCGCTGGCGATGGCAGGGGAGAACGTTTGGAAACTGGCCGTCGATTTTTTCGAGAAATGGGAGACTGGGAGATTGCTCGGCCACGACGGTGCAAAGTGGATCATGCGGAAGAAGAAGGTAAAAAATGTGAAGCCCGGGGTTGTCTACGTCGAGAACGACAAGACGGGCAGGAAAGAGGTCATGTACAACGTCCCTGTGGACCCGCCGACAAAGGAAGGCGAAAAGGAGAAAGAGGAGGGCGACTGGTTCATGCAAGTGCCTGAGCCAGACGCACATTGTTGGAAAGCGATGGAGTCGCTGACCGACAACGAGAAGTGCCGCGTCTTGAAGAAGGTTCTCGCTTGCGAGGTGGTTTGGGTCCAGGCCGGCTCCGCGGCGTTGGCGAAGCTCAGGAAGCTGAGGGTCTAGGACATGGTTCATTTGGTGAAGTGTGACCGGGTGCTGGTGCGTCTATGGAACTACTACCAGTTCAAGCACGAGAAAAGGCCGGACGCGGATTGGAGCCAAAGGTGCCCGTTCCTGAAAACAAGGTCCATAATTTTCAAACAGTTTAAGAGTCGTGGTTTGGATGAAGAGTTGTGGGACAGGAGCAGGAAATACGTCGCTGACTCCTCGTTGTTCAAGGACTGCCCGCCTTACATGGGCTGCGACGACGACCAATCGATCGAGGCGACGGAGAAGTTGGCCGGTCACAAGAAGTTGTCCGTTGACTGGAGGAATAAGGTCCTGCTCGTGTTGACTGGCAGTAGACTGAAGAGTCGCGAGATCCCGCTTGCCGAAGGAATTGTGCACATAAAATGGAAAGACACGGGCGACGTGACATCCATCGCGCCATTCGGCAACGACCCCTTGGAGGCAGACATAAGGTGTGCGGAGGTGAAGGAGGCAGTGGTTGCCACAAAGAGTCACACGTTCGTCCTCGATCTCTGCGAACCAGTGGACCTGAAGCTGTGGAAACCGCAAGCGTTCGACACTCTGGATTCCTTGCTTCAGACGTGGTGTCCGTCGCATTGGACGCTCGTCGTTTTCGTCCCGCGGCAGCAGAACCTCTCGTTTCTGGCCAGCATGAACCACCTTTCTTTCGTGAAGATGCTGGAAGGGAAGTGGGTGAGGAAGAGTCAACAGAAGAAAAGCTTCCCCGTCGGGAATAATTTGTACATGGAAGATGACCGGATGTACGTACTCTTCAAAGGCGACGATTTGCACGCAAACACGTCCGTCGTCTACGAGGGGAAACTGCCGCCTGCCGCCTGCCGCCGCTGCTACAGTGCGGCTGCCGCAGAAGGTTACACAAACGGATGTGTCCGACATCCCGTTCAACCCTTGCGATTGGTCGCATGTCTCGCCTACGCGTCGGGGCAGTGTGTACGGGGACATGGAACGCAACCCCACGCAATTCGTTAATCTTCTCGAGTCCGTCACCAAGAAGAAGGAGGGTGTAGTCTTCCTCGGGAAGCCACACGCGCGATCCGTGTGGGAACTGCTGAAGGAAGGACGACACGTCATCGCAATGGAAGGGAACTCCGAGCTCTCGCAATTTACAATTGATCTCGTCAAAAGCGAGGTCAATTCGGGTGCCCACATTTGCGAGTTCATGGTCGTCAACAAGTCTCGCCCTCGCGCGTGGAACAACAGGACGAACATGTGGTTCAAGTTGAGTGCGAGGAAGCGGAACAAGATGTACGACTTCTTGTTCCTACAAACACGGCCCAAGAGAGACACTGACGCCGAGTACGTGCGCCGCAAGGATCACATGTTCACGCTGCTCGATAACTACCACGGCGCCTCCCGCATGAACGCAAAGACCTTCCTCGAGAGGTTGCAGTCCCTATACTTCGTGGAGTCAGAGGAGGAGTTGACGTTCGGTAGTTACTCCTCCTTGATCTCCACGGAAGACGAGGAGACCATCGACATCAAGTTCGACGCGACCGCGAACGAGGAGGGCTGCAACACCGAAAGCCTCGACCTGCAGTACGACCCGCATCCCGGGCAGCACACAACAGGGTCGTCCTTCACAGGTCAGTCAACAAGCCCAACATCCCTCGTGTCACCGATGGCGAAACCGGCGCCTGGCACTACCCCGATGAAGTTGCTGCAGAGAATGCAAGCTCTGGCCTCCGGCCATCGCTCACTGCGTCCTGGGTCTGACATCCTGGCCGATCATCTGTCTTGGAGGGATGCCAACACTCACTTCCTGCCTGAGCCTCAAAGTCGTTCCACGAAGGCGGAGTGGCATCCAAGAGTCATCCACCCGGCGATCCAAAAGGGTGAGTGGATCGTGGTCGTCGCTGTCCCGGACGGAGGATGGGTGCCCCTCCCTCGCGGGTCGAAGCCTGACTTCCTCGACGTCGCTAGAATTGCGGTCCTCCAGAAAATCTGGGCCGAGAATGACTCTTTCACACCCGAAGACGTGTCTATCATTTCCACAGCCGGGCGATTGTTCGCCGAACTTCAGGACAAGTGCTAGTTGGAGCTGACGGAGGACTACTACGACCTCGATACGAGCCCCTCGAAGGGAAGGGTGGATTGGAAAATCCCCCCTCCCAATGGGACGCATGTAAGTACAGGGTCCAGGGGACCGGACGGTGGGGAGAACGAGGGCGACGAGGCTGGTGGCGGCAAAGGAGTCCCGCCTGGTTCGGAGGGCGGGTCTCAGGGCGACACCACGACAATGGAAGGCAGCGGCGGGGTGGCGGGGGAGGCCTTCAGGCATCAGCAGTCTACCGGTCTGGGTCTGGCAAGCTCGGCACAGTCAGCAGACGTGCCCACTTCATCTGCCGGCTCGGTGATGGCGGTCTTGGTTGCTCTCCATGCCGGCTCGGTCGAAACATTCAAGTCCGCCGGGATCCGAACTTCAATCAACATAAGAATTTCCCTGAATTAAATAATCATTCTAGAGTAAAATTACATTCTAAATTCTAAATTTTCATTCCATCTTACAAAATGTAATTCCAATTTTAAAATTTTTCGTCTTACTTGAAAACTTTCCTTCCAAGAATGGGGTATCCCTTCTTATTTGAACTTCATGCTAGAGATGGGATGAAAGTCAGGATGAGTTCATGAAATATTTTAATTGGACTGCCATTCTAAGTAAGGATTTTCAGTTATAAATAGGTTAATCCAATCTAAATTAGACGATATTTATTATTATAGAATGAAAGTCTAATTAAAACATTTCATAAGCTCGTCCAGACTTTCATTCTATCTTGAACAAATAGACGTAGTTGAAAGGGAAAACTCATATTTAGACTGGAACTTATCAAATTAAATTGGAAATTTTAGAATTGGACAAACTTTGGAATGATAATTTATAAATATGAAGGATTTTTTTTTTTATGGAATGTTCTTTCAACCTCTTATTTCTCATGGGAATTTTTCTGTTGATGCTTGCAGAGCGGACGAAGAGGACGAACACGCATAGCTTGTCAGGAGCGGGGGTGGCGAGTCGTGATCCCAAAATGGACAGCGGTGTGGTGAGGGACGGGACTGCGCCGCCTGCGGGGGACTGCCAACCGCTTCGGTCGGAGCGAGAGGGTACGTGTGGAGGGTCCGGCGAAGTTCGCCGGGATCCGAACTTCTTCAGGCAATGGGGGCCGACCAGGGATTGTTGTACCAGCGGGAGGAGCTGCGTGCGGCGAGCGGGAAGGGCATTCGTCGGAATTCGACACGGGTTCGGGCGAAGTGGTTGGATTGCATGCACAAGAAAAAGGCAGGGTGATGGACAAAGAGAAGGAAGGGGAGGAAGGAGACACAAGGGAGGAAGTGGAGGAAGGAGGGAAGGAAGGGGAGGAAGAAGAGGATGAAGGGGAGGAAGGAGAGGAAGGGGAAGAAACGGAGTTGGCTGGGTTGCTAGGAGGGAAGGACGGGGAAAAAGGTGAACTCGATACTGGAGACGATGAATGGACGTTCGGCGACGACGATGACAGATTCGGGGAGTCGTCTGACGGATTCGGGCAGCTGTACGGAGAACATCGCGAGGAAGACGACGACGACGATGACACGGCACTGGGTATGGAGACACAGGTGGTCACAAGCCTTTTGGTAGAACGTGATAACTATGAGGTCGAAGCAATGACGTCTGCCGTCGATCTCCAACAATGGTTCAACGACGCTAGTGTTGCAGTCAACCTGAATAAACCGAGTGTGCATATTGACATCGAAGAAGTTATCGACGGCATCCTGGGCGACCACCACATGTCCGCGTAGCCGTCCTCTTCGCCTGGTGTCGACGACCCTCTCGACGTCAAACCTTCCGGGGGATCTGTCGTGGCTTTGTCGCCGATGAATTTTCCGATGCTGCCGCCGACCATCACCAGCGGAGGAGAAGGCGAGATCGGGGGACGACTAGATGTCACATCCCCGAAAAAAACTGCCGCCGGCACTCGAGCTCTCGACGTGCTGGCCTTGCCCGCGCCAACTTCGCCGATTAAGGAGCGGAGAGACAAACTAGCTGGTAAGCAGTGACAAACGCCACTCTGTCTGTGCGCCAGTGACCGCAGTGTCTGTTAATGCGGGGAGTTCGTGATGTCGGCATGCTACAACCACCACTCCTTTAAACTTCCAAGTACATGTGAACGACCATCCTGTGAGCCGGCCAGGTCACTGTGTGGAGTACATGTATGTTTTTGTTGAAGCGTTCCGTCACATGATGGAAGGATGGTGTTACTTTTTCGGAATGAGTGGTGGTTTTAGTCCGCCGGGATCCGCACTGCCAAAGCCGCTGCGTAATGCGGTTACTCTTTTTGTGCCTCGATTAGGAAAAGTCCGCCGGGATCCAGACTTCATAACTGTTTGGCCTCCGGGTTTGTGGCTTGTTGAGGTTTTCCCTTCTGTAGGGCAGGGGTGTCGAGGTCAAACGCACTGCTCCTTTTGTTTTCTAGCGGGGTTTGCGCGGAAGTATTCTCTGTCTCTCTCATGGCTAAACGGGGTTCTGTGATTAGATAGGTCTTGCGTCTTCTACATTTCATGGTTCTTGAATTGTCGTTTTCGTCGGATTTGTCTTGGATTACGTATATTCATTTTCCATTTTCTCTTCCTTCGTCTGTCCAGGGGTTGGGTCATCTCCCTGGGTCGGAAAAGTCCGCCGGGATCCAGACTTCAAAGATGTTTGGCTTCCGCTTCTGTGACTTGATGTGCTTTTCCCTTCTGAAGGGCGGGGGTGTCGAGCTCGAGTGCACTGCTCGTTTTGTTTTGCAGCGTGGCTCATGCGGAAGTTCTCTCCCTTGCACTCTCATGGCATGTCGGGGTTCTTTAATTGCATAGGTCCTGCGTCTTTTAGATTTCGTGGTTCTTTTATTGTCCTTTCGTGGGGTTCTTCTTCAGAAACGTGTATTCATTTTCCGTTTTGTCTTTCGTCTGTTGTACAGGGGTAGGGTTGTCTCGAACACGGAGGCCCTCTAAATATCCGGAACACATATTGCAGACAGTCCCGGGGTTGACGACAAAACACAAGGACATGTTAAAGGCGTCAGGGATTGATGTCAAAATCGGGAAGAAGGAGCATGTCATTGCCATTGAGGAGTGTCTTCCCCTTCTGCCCCCAGAGAAAGGGAGATATCCACGATCTGTGACTAGGGGTCAATCCATGTATGAGAAATACTTCGCTACTCGTCGTGCGATGAAGGAGAATCCTTAGAGTTTCGTTTCTCACTTCCCCCCCTGTCCTTTGCTCGATGTTGTGCAGTGCGGGCCACGACACCTGGAACAGCAGTGACTGCGATTGGAAGCTTGCGGGTTTTGGATGACATTGAACGAGGCTTGGTGCCACCTGACACTATACTCTCGACCCTCGGCGATGGTCAATTGCGAATTGCAGCGAAGGATATTCTAACCCTCTCACTTACCGACGGCAGGGTGAATGATGAGGTCGTCAACTTTTACATGGCGCTATTGGGAACGACCGCATATGGGATACGTGACATCCCGTCAGACCTTCGAGTCTTCAGCTTTAATTCTTTCTTCTTCAGTAAAATGCAACTTCAAGGACACGGCGGGGTGGAAAGATGGGTTAAAAACGTGGATCTGCTTCAATATGATATTATCTTCATTCCGGTCCTCAAAGATAATAATCATTGGATCCTCCTTTCCGTGAACTTGAGAGATAATGTTCTTGAGATTTTTGATTCTTTTCATTGCGTTATAACCGATTATAGTTTTTACCTTAGTGTTTTCGAGTTGATCGTACACTATTTGAAATGTCAAACATCACATAGGTGGTCGTGCAGGCGCTAGAAGTCGGTAGCAACAAATGTTGTTATAGAGGGAGTTCCAAGACAAGTGGATGGAGTTAGTTGCGGGGTGTTTATGTTGATGTTTGCGACACTGTTGCAACGTGGCGATCGACCGCCTTTCAGGTTCTCTTGTGAAAATATTCCTTATATTAGACGACAATTGGCATCATGTATCTTGGAATGCCGTTGTCTTTGATGGATTCGATTGATTTGCAAACTTCTATTTCAGAATATTTCATATTTTAACTGTCGCTTTCACAACGACATTACTTTCTTTTGGTGTTGCGAGTTTGAGTTCTCTTTGGTATGTTGACTGCCAGTCTTGCGTCGCGTGTTGCCTTAAAAATCTCTGTCTGGTCCGGTTTGTCTGTCGTGCCATTAAATTCATCGCATTGCAGTCCTCATTGCAAATTGTGTCCAGGTCATCCAAAGATGTGCATATAATTCACCTCGAAATGATATTCGTGTGTGGTGCGACGTGACGAATTGGAGTGTGGATGCAAGATAAATATCTGCGAGTGTGTGGGTGTGAGGTTCTTTATGCAAAGAGTAAAAGACCAGTGACATCACGTCTCTTGTGTGCATAGACAATCATGTACCGCCTGAATTATATGTAACCGACAATTTTGCGTTCGTGGCCGGGAAAAATAAATTGTATGTCGAAATTAACTGTTTGTACTTCTAAAGAAGTCTGAATCTCTACAACATCCAGACAACCGCCTCGGGCGAGACGATTGCCATGCATGCACAACTCACGCATAAAAGAAATAAATAGTATTATCCAACAAGGATTCAATCATTACACCCTGCTCATCACATTCACAAACTTGAAGTTTGACAAGTGTGGCTCCTGACACACTATCGCACAGGCATCCCGGATGGGCGTGCCTGTCGCTACTCTACGTCTTCTAATATAATTATCCAACGAGGATGCAATCATGACACATTGCTCGTCACAATTATAGAATAGAAGTTTAACAAGTACGGATCCCAACACACTTCCACACAGGGTTCCCTGATGCGCGTGCCTGTCATTATTCGTTTATGAAGTTTAACAAGTACAGATCCCGACATACTTCGGCACAAGATTCCCAACACATTTCTGAAGTTCAACAAGTAAGGATCCCAACACACTTCCGCACACGGTTTGCCTGATGGGATTGCCTATCGTTATTCGTTTATGAAAATTGACAAGTACGGATCCCACCACACTTCCACACAGGATTCCCAGCAGTGCCATGTTTTTGAAGTTCGGCAAGTAAGGTTCCCGGCAAACTTCCGCACAAGGTTCCCATGTGGCGTGCCTAACATATACGGGTTTGAACACGCTTCCTCATTCGGGATATCATTTATTAAGTTTCACCACAAGTACGGATCTCAGCACACTTCTGGACGTGCTTAAGCCCTGGATGGGCGTGCCTACGTTGCTTGGCCTTGAGCCAAAAAAGAATTCGTTAGAAAGAGGACACAGTATAATGTCCTATTTTAACGAATAACATGTTATGGGCAAATGGTGAAGCTCATTACTGGATCACTAGCTTAGCACCCACGAGGGGGGCCTACCCCCGCATAAAAAACCTCGTCATTGTCGCCAAAAATCAGTCAAAGTACTCACACAGACTCAAATGAACATATAGAGCAGATTCAGCAGAACGCACTCAACATCTGCTCAAAACAGGCTCAAAGTAACTCAAACAGTTTGGCAACAAACAGACTTCAAACCAGTGTCGTACCGCCGTTCAGGGGTCCCGGTGACCAGAGGCCGGTCAACGGTTACGATCTTGGTGACCAGCTTCCAGACACAGTCATCACGGGG